AGTGATTTCCAGACTGGGGAGTCATTGAATTTGGGTTTGACAGTAGCAACCGAGCAATTTTTGAGGTATTTAGCCCGTACAACATCTTGCCATAGACCCTTCCCTGTATCCAGTCTCCACCACCATTTCACCATAAGAGAAACATTTTGTTTGTGGAGATCTTTGATGCCCAAACCCCCTTTACACTTAGATCTGCACACTCTGGCCCATTTGACCAAGTGATAGCGTTTCTTCCCCATACCTCCACACCAAAAAAATTTGCGACGGTATTTGTCTAATCTTTCGATGAAAGTCTTGGAGAGGAGGAACATTGACATATAGTAGTAAGCAATGTCCGTGGTGTTACATTACACCGAATGTTGTTAGGGTCCCATGATAACTATATGCAAGGAATTGAAGTATTCATTTGGAGCCGTCTCCCACACACGTGCATACGTACATTCTGAGGCTGTATGCCAGCCAGTGTGTTATAGAGCATCTCCGGTTCTTCTAGCGTCTACAGATGGGCCCCTGAAATGCCCCATATGCATCCGCGCGGACGGCTGGTCAGCAAGCGGTTACAAAATCGCGATCTAGACAGGCTTCTCAAACTAGCCCTAGACATTCGGACTAACGGACATCCCTTGATATCCAGTCCATATTTAGACAGGCTATGAGGAGGCCCGATCGCACCCGGACATGTCCGCCATGTTGGACTGGCTGGCGGGACTCATGCGGACATACATCCAAACTGATTGGTCCAGTGAGAAGTCCACTCCGGTGCGCTGGAGAGGCGAAATCCGGCTATTTAAGCTGAAGGGCGAGTCCCAACCCTAGCCATTCTCAGTTCCACCCTTATCTCCCGTCCGCGCCGCTACTCGCACCCGCTCCGAGCTTGTCATCCAGTCCCAACTGCTCTGAGCTCACCGTTAGCCATGCTCCACCGCCGGATCACCACCTACGTTATGCTCACTCCACGGTGCCGGTTGGAGCTCCTAATGAACATGTATGATCATAACATACACACTGCAATTTATTAGTACGTAACTGTAATTTGTTCACCACACTTATAATGACTAGTTCATCTCTTACTAACATGCCCCCTGAGATGGAAGTGTTCAACTTTAAACAAAGGAGAGGTGAGAACTTTAAGGATGTTTAGTATAGGATTTGGGATGCACAAAATATGTCAACTTGTAAGTTTTCCACTATGTGCTCCTTAGGAATTTTTATATCGGTATGTTTACTTGGTATAGGTACATCCTAGATAACAAAACTGGAGGTAGCTTTGTGGGTTGCCATAGTCCAAATGCCTTTAATGCTATAGATGGTTTGGTGGGATAACGCCTTATTAAAAAGATGAATCTTAAATAACACTCGAACACATAATGAAAAGAATGGACATGCTAGAAAATAAAATACTAAGTGTTGAGAAACTAGAGCTACGATAAAAGGCTACACAATGGAATCACTAAACAAGGCTTTATTATTGGTAATGCTTTGAGATGACCGGAAAAGTTAGAAAATGATATCATACTTAACCTTGATGAGAGGGATCCTTTTGAAAAAGAATAAGAAACTAGAGGTGGCAATAGATATATACTTTGGGATCAAATTTTGCTTGAATTAGACAAAATGAATATTCTTCTTAAGGAAAAGCACCAACATTTATTTATGCCCAAAAGCTTACAACAAAAGTTTCTCAAAGAAGGCCCTAAAATATGGCTGGTAGACCCTCAAAAATGGTGATTTTTCCTATGTTGAGTGCAGAAAAAGTTTCAAGGCCAATAGAGGAACTGGTCCCACACCTCCACAAATCGGACTATCCCACAGGAACTTGTCCGACCTTCCGGCGTCACCGAGCCAGCTCTTGCTTGGACTTTGCCTCTCTTTGATTTGTGATGATCCTATTACCTAGTCCAACACAACAATGAACAAAAAGTAAAAAAGGGCGGCCCCTTACGAAGAAAATCTAGGGCTAGCTGCAGTAGTGCCCACGAGAGAGGGGGCACACGAAATCATGCGAGGAAGTTTTAGAACCACTACTCCTTTTGCGTGGGGTACTAACATTGGTATAGAAGGGCGGTTCGGTTAGGAAAAAATCAGAGAGAGTGGAGCATGGGGTACTAATATGGGTATAGAAGGGTGGCCCCTTTCCAAGAAAAGCTAGGGCTAGATGTAGCAGGGCCCGCCGGAGAGAGTGGATCATGAAATTGTGCGAGGAAGTTTTGGTACCACTCCTCATTTTGGATGAGGTCCTAACATTGGTATACAAGGGTGGTTTTATGACAAAAAACTCAATGCACTTTGAAGTGACAAATCCTTCACAAACCGAACCGTCCAGCGGGAAGTTCCAAGCCTTCAGTGCGAACCCCTTCCCATGTTGCCGAGCCTACTCATGCTTGGTCTTGGCCTCTCATTGGGTTTGTCATGATCTTGTGACTTATTCCAACAAAAACAAGAATAAAAGTAACATGGGTGACCCCTTCAATGAAAAGTTAGGGCTAGACACCACGGGACTTGATAGAGAGAGGGGCACACGATATCATGCAACAAAGTTTCAGAACTAATCCCACTTGCTCATGGGGTCCTAATAAGGGTATACTGTTGGGGAACGTAGTAATTTCAAAAAATTTCCTACGCACACGCAAGATCATGGTGATGCATAGTAACGAGAGGGGAGAGTGTGTCCACGTACCCTCGTAGACCGAAAGCGGAAGCGTTATGACAACGCGGTTGATGTAGTCATACGTCTTCACGATCCGACCGATCCAAGCACCGAACGTACAGCACCTCCGAGTTCAGCACACGTTCAGCTCGATGACGATTCCCGGACTCCGATCCAGCAGGGTGTCGGGGATGAGTTCCGTCAGCACG